CTCGTCTCTGCCACTGCGCTTTGCCCGCGGTGGTGTGCAGCGCAACAAGCGAAGGAATCCCCCCCAACTGCCCGCACCGAATGGACAGCGTGCTCGACCTCAACAGGCGCTGGTACGAGCGCTCGCTGCCGCTGCGCTCCTGCAGCCTCAAGGAGGTGGCCAACACCACGACTTCCAAGGAGGAGATGGACGCGATGTTCCGTGAGGCGCAGGAGGTACTCGACGCGGAGACGGCGCAGAGCCACGCCGACAAGGGCCGCTGGTACAACACGCAGTTCCTCTCGCGCGGTACGACCACCGACAAGATCGCCTCCGCCGCGGTGAAGCTGAGCGACACAGACTTCATGTTCTTCCTCGACGGCTTCAACCTGCTCTTCGACACAGCCCGCACCGACACGCACCACTACGAGGCGGCGCTCAAAGCGCTTGCTGTCGTCTGGCCGAAACTGCTCCCGCACCGCCCGCTTAAGCGATTTGTCTCTCAGTTCTTTGCGACGCTGCCTACGGACGCGCAGGGCCGGCGGGTGGTGCTGCTGTACTGGTATATCGAGGACTANGATTTGTCTCTCAGTTCTTTGCGACGCTGCCTACGGACGCGCAGGGCCGGCGGGTGGTGCTGCTGTACTGGTATATCGAGGACTATCTGAAGCGCACATACGCGCAGTTTCTGTCGCTCGCGGAGGCGATGCTGAAGGACCGGCTGCAGCAGCGGCGCGAGGCGTGGCTGGAGGTCGTGGGCAAACTCATGTGCAGCGTCCCGGAGGGCCGCCACGTCGCGATGGCGCTGATGGTCGACAAGCTCGGCGACCCCAGCACGCGCGTCGCCCACAAGGCGTACCACCACCTGCTCGCGCTGCTCAACGAGTCGTCGACGCACCAGGCGGCGCTCTTCGTCGAGCTGGAGAAGGCCATCTTCATGAAGAACTGCCCGGTCAGCACGATGAAGTACGCTGCAAACGTGCTGAACCAGTTCGTGTACACCAAGGAGGAGCGCAAGCTCGCGCTGAAGAGTGTGCAGTCGTACCTCGCGCTGTTCCGCCAGCTCGTGGTGAACGCGTCGGTGGATCTTTCCGTGACGACGGCGATTCTCGTGGGCCTTCGCCGCGCGTTCCCGTACGCCGGCACCGACATGGCGCCGCTTGAGGAGCACCTCAACGCGCTCTTCGTGCTCGCCAACACAGGGAACTTCATGCAGCGCGTCGCGACGCTGTCGCTGCTGCAGCTCATTGCCCACAACAAAGGGGCAACCGAGGTGTTCCAAAACCGTTGGTACCGCGCGCTCTATAACATGCTCTTGATATCGCCCAAGCAGGTCTCACACACCTCGCAGATGACAGGCTTCTTTTCCATGCTGCACAAGGCACTGCGCCTCGACAAGAACGAGGAGCGGGTGGCGGCGTTCCTGCACCGGCTGCTGCAGCGTGCGCTGTACTTCAATGAGTCGGTGATATGCGCGATTCTGCTGTTGGTGGGGGAGGTGCTCCAGGCACATCCACGCCTCCGTGCGCTGCTGCTGGAGCGGCGGCAGACACCCATTGATGCTGCTACTGCAGAGGAGCGCTACGACGTGAAGCACCGCGAGCCGCAGTTCGCGCGGGCCACAAAGGAGTGCCTGTGGACGCTTGGCCTCCTTGCCCGCCATTCCCACCCGTCGGTGGTGAAGCTGGCTGTGATGCTGCTATTCAACGAGGACATCGTCTTTGATAGCCACCCGCTAGATGAACTCACTTTGCCGAACTTCCTGCAGATGTTTGTTGACGCCAAGGCACAGCCGAAGACGGAGGAGGCGGGCAAAGGGATGTCGGTATTCCGCCGCGCCGTGCACGCGCCGAACATCCCGAGCGCCTCGGACCCGTACTTCATCAACGCGAGTGCGCAGCAGGTGGACGTGTCAGCGCTGTTCCTGCATCGCTACGCAGTGCAGCGGCAGCGCTTCGTCGACGGCCTCTCGCAGGTCCGCTCCACGTGGGGGGATACGAGCGGTGAAGCGGACGTCGCGTTGCGTGTTTCGAACATTGACGCGTCTCTCTTCGGCCCGTCTGGCCCGCTGGCCGATCCAGCAGCAACTAGTAGCAGTGGCAGCGGCAAGAAGGAAAAGAAGAGCAAGGGGGCGAAGCAGGGCGAGGCGGTGGAGTTGGATGAAGACGTGCAGAGCAACGACGATGCCGGC